CTTACCTTCCTGATTTTTTTTTAATTTTGAAATGTTATCGACACTGCCACTGTTTTCACAATGATCTAACTTTCATGTAACTAAACGTTTCCTAAATTTGCATGAGCATTGCTGAAGTTTTCGGAAATTACCTGAGTTTCTCGGAACTCCTTTATAATTTCAACCATTTTATTGAAATTAATTGATCTGTCCTGATGTTCTCTGAGCTTCACTTAAGTTTCTGAAAATCATTAAATTTTCCTGAAGTGCTTTGGACTTTTGAAGTTTCCAAAATATTTATGATGTTTCCTTAAGTTCATTGGAGTTCGCTGAACTTTTCTGAAATTTTCGGGTTTTTGAATTTTAACAGAAGTTAATGAAACTCCCTCCCCATGGACATGGAGGTTGACGGTACTGAAGCAAAGGGTTATGTTTAATTTCTTTATATTTGCAACGATGATGATTTCCTATAGTGACACATATCACCTTCTTAATGCTTCAGTATACCTCAAACGATTAATTCTTGGTTGTTAATAGAACTTCTTTGATGCAATCGGCTGCATTATGCAGACTGAGCAATTCTGATTATAGTATCAGATTTGTTCTGTATACAGAGGAACTGGGAGGGCTTATTAAAAACTTCTCACCAATAAAGTAATGATCTTCTTGAAAATTTTGCATATAATTTTATTAATATTTTATTTTATTTAAACATATTATTTTTGTTACAGTCAATTTGCATTAGCATATGATACAAGAGATTTAATATTACTTGCTCGTTTTCGCGTAGAATAATCAATATTTATCTTACTTGTAATTACCTTTGAAAGTTTTTTTTTTGTGATCTGAAAATTTACCCAGTTTGGTTAGAAGTTTCGAAGCTAACGCATGTCCACAGGCCTAATAGAAAGATAGGCAGAACAAGTGTATCATTAAGAATGGTTGCATGCAGGGTTGCTTCCACTCACTTGCTATAGATGAGCGATTTTCGGAGTTTTGAATTCGTTACATGTTGTAATGGAGATTTGTGCTGTTGGATGCGGGAGGAGGTTGGAGGGCGGGTGTTTGACGCATAGAGCCTGTCAATTTCGCTTTCAGAGTGTCGCAGTCAGCGGTTTTATGATTCGTGAGCACGTGATTGTGACTGCAAGTGGATTTGACGGGTTTTGTGTGTCGGACGCTGGCCTCTTCTTGTGTCTAATATGTGCAGAGTATCATTATAACGTCTAATGGTTTTGAGATTCCTGGTGGCGTAAAATATATTTGTGAGAATATCTTTTTGAGATTTTAGCAGTCACGTTTTGTTTGTAGTTTATATTTTATTTATTTCATGTAATTATCGTAAATAATAGTTATTCAAAGCGCTGTGGATTATAAGATGCTCGATGACCCTCGAGGGATCGATTGTGCTTACTGAGCAGAAAATCATGGATTTAACCCCAAGCTCTTCCACAGCACAATAAATCGCCACCATCATTTGTATATTTGATATTGAACATTAATCTCGGAAACTGTTTGCATATCAAGCGAAAACGTAGTCCTGTATTGTCGCGAAGCGTTATGGTTCTGAGATGCTCGATGACCCTGGAGGGATCGTTTTTGTTTACTGAGCAGAAAATCATGGGCTTAATCCCAAAGCTCTCCATCATGACTCTTAAAATTCATTATCACTAAACAAAATTAATATGTTCTTTCGATAGCCGGCTATCGAGAGATTAAATAAACAACAAATAAACAATACATACTTTTGGTTGCATCGCCAACTTGAGGTGAATCCTAACCGAATACCCTACCCAACCCTCCAACTCCGTAGTACTTATGAGGGTGTCGCTAAGTCGGTGGCCTCTCGTTAAGTAAGTACTACATCAACATTTCCTTCCCTATCCCTAGTTATGGTAAAGATGGGCGTGGCCGGGAATAGCGACAGTCATGCTTCTGTTACTCTTGTTTAGATTGGAACCAATGTTTACTCCTCAGCATTATTCCTGAAAGTAGTCTAACTGAGAATTTCAGAAGAGACGTGAGTGTCGCTAGTATCCAATCTACGAAGTATATCATAACAACGCTAACGCTAACGCTAACAGAAGTTAATGAAACTGGTTTTAATTTATCGAAACTTAGACTTTTCTGAAGTTTCAGAACTTCTTAAATGTGCTTGCAGCTAGTGTGGATACGCAATAAAAATCTGATAGCATCCTTGAAGCTCCGGGAGAAGATGAAAGAATCATTCGAGCGAAGGGTGAAGGTGGAAGAAAATTCCAGGGTAAGTTGGACAAAACTTCAGGAAGTTTAAAAATGAATAAAAACTTCCGGAAGTTAAATAATGTTTAAAAAATATTTCTCGATTGCCTACACACTAAGATTATTTTACCGAAATCTGTGAAATTTTACCGAAATCTCAACAGCTGAACGTTCGGTAAGCAGTTCGGTGATTTTTCACAGATTTTCTGTGATTTTTCACAGATATTTGTTGAAATATTACAGGAAAACTATGAAAAATCACCGAACTGTTTACCGATCGTTCAGCTGTTGAGATTAAGGTAAAATTTCACTGATTTCGGTAAAATAGTCTTAGTGTGTAGGAATTACCGGAAAGAGCCATCGACTATTTCTTGATTGATGGGTAGCTAAAAACGGTTAGGAAATGCAAACATTAGTCGAAAGAGTATCAAGCATAAGGCATCTTTAGAGATAATTGTTTGGAATTTTAAAGGCTACAAAATAAGAGGTATTCAAAAAGATACAAGTATCTCACAAAAATTTTCTCCAAAAGTTCGAGTGCGGGCAGGCAATAATAATTTTGATTATTTGAAAAACGGTATTAAACGGTATTAATTAATTATTATAAAATTACTCAAACTCTAGAAAACGTAGTTTACTAGTATACTGAGTAAAATATTCCGAGCTCCATAAATCTTTTTGAATATGACAAAAATCGACGAAAATTTGCTCATTCCAGAAGTAAACAGTCAAAGAAAAAATCGCATATCCAATGGAAAATATTTATAAAAATTTCACATAACTTTCACGTGATATCATAATTGGGAATTGCACCACAAAATCAAATGAACCTTATGTGTCAAATTAAATTTAAGTGATTTATCATATAGAAATCATGTGATCACATGAATGTTATGTGAAATTCAGATAGATAGGGTAGAGAACTACTTCGGCCTAATTGCCCATTTTGGGCCTATCGAGCAGGAAACTTCAAATAAATCCATTATTTCAGAGTTAACAAGTCAATTATGCGTTTGGTACGATCCTTTAGTTAATAAGCTACGGAACGAAGTCAATGAGAATGCGTGATATGATGGTTTGCACCCAAAAACAAAAGAAGCGCCCTGAAAGAATCAATTTTTTATCTTCATCCGATAGGCCGAAGTGAATTCATTGGCGTTTCAATGGCGTTTCAATGCGTTAGGCCGAGTTTACAATCCGTAGGCCGAGTTTGGCGTCAAGAAGCAGTGTTAGACTTTTGACAATATCTCAACGATTGGTTTCTCTTTATCAAATCTTACGGTACACACGGGAAGGTTAATAAATTTTGAAGCCATCAGTAATAATAACATTCCGTTTGGTGCTAAACTACGCTAGATTAAGAAAGACTAAGTGCGGGTTGTGCTTAATAGGCCGGAAATGGGTTGTTTGTATTGTTAATGTTAGTATTGTTAATTGATAAAAAAAATGTGCATTCCAAATGGAAAGTACAGGAAAACTTTTTTCCATTTACTGATTTCATATGTGCATTGAGATGTTGCCCATATTAGAAAACGTATTACTGTAAAAGCTCGGAAAATTTTACTCAGTCTATGAGTTAACTACATTTTCAAGAATATGAGTGAACTAATCTCAACTCTGAGCCTCGTTTGTCGTGTAATCGTAATTTATCTTTTATTCAATTGATTTTAACGTATACGGTGTAAATCGATGCATTCCCAACTCCAATTAGGTTCAATTCGTAAAAATCAGTTCTTTTTTTGCTCAAATATACCAAATAACCTAAACTTCTGCTAATTTTATGCAGCCCAATTAAAGACATTTCTTAAATTCACAGCCATTTCTCGCAGGCATCTGGCATTTCTGGTTAGCACTGATACTCAGTACCGAAAAGAAGATCGACGGAAAACAAGTCAAGGAAAAAATCAAAGAAGTTTCAAGTCTCGCCCAATTTTCAAAAATGCGTTTTTTACATCTTTCAGAAATAAACGTAGTTTTGAAAATTTATACATACGTTTGGAGCCTTTAACGTATGTTTACACTTTCAAAAGATAATTCAATGTGAACCTGTGCGAAAACCACTTCAAGTTTAGATTTTTTTTTTCGCAGAAATGTCTCCAAAAATGTACAGTACTGTAAAATAAATATTAGTCAGCTATCGAATGTTCAGTTCACACACAGCTAAAAAAAGTAGTGTAAATTTCCGTTACTATGATGCACATAAATGGAGCGTCACATATTATACAAGTTTAGATTATAGATCGTGTAAATTTATGAGACATGTCATGCACAATTCTATATATTGTATGCAACTCTCCACTTTTGTTTGCAACATTCCTTGCAAGCTGCTAGTTTACGTGAAAAGGAAGTTTACATGTATGAATGTTTGCATGCATGGATGTTTACATCGCCAGTAAAATTCAGAATTTTTTGGTGTGCATGTTTGGAACCTAATTTTTAATTGGATTTATTACTAATTGTTATTACTAATGTTGAATATCACCTAATTTTGAAACTATGAAAATTTAATTGATTTTTTTGTGGATTTTGGAATTTAATTTATAAATCTTTGACTTTGAAATTATTATTGGATTGAGCAACAAAAACAGTATCATAGTCCTACGTCAACAATGCAATCGTGTTTCAGACACAATCTTCAACTTTTTTTTATAAAAGTCTCCTTAAAACATAGCGTGTTTCATAGAGCTGATTAAATCTATATAGACTTGTAACATAATTAAAATGGAGTCTATGCGATTTAAAGATCTTTAAAGAGTAATGCAACGACAAACAATCCTTACCTGTTTGAGTTCCTCCGCTGAAGTGGTCATGATTCGCATTAGTTCTTCTATTACGGTGAAACATCTCTATCACAGCTTTTCTGTGGGAACGTTACTGAATACACTACATATGGCAATGAATAGTATTTTGCAAACAAACCTGAAATTTTGTCCACTTATGCAGTACAGAATGAAGTTGATCCCGAAATTGGTGATGAAAAAGAGGTAACAATAGTACTGAACGAGAATGGTCAAACTGGATGGTTCGGTCTGAAACGAAATGCGCAGAACGAAAAACAAGTTTATGAGAATGATTCCTCCCAACTGTCACATCAATTTACATTTACCAACAGACAAAACAAAAACATAACGTAAAAATATCACCAAGAATCAACGCTGTTCCGAGGTAGCGTTTATTACTTAGAGAACAAAAACAAACTGAAAACCATGAATGTATTATGTAAACATATATTTGCAGTTTTCTACTTGGAAGTTATTTTACAGCGTATACAGCATAGCTTGCACAGCGAAAATATTATTTCCATTCACAAGAGGAAACGTGCAAAACCTCAAATGATTAATGAGCTCAAGCATCCATCAAGTGTTCTGGTTATTCAGCAGAGGGAAATGAGTTCAGAAGGGAGCGTGATTTTTACGCAACTGCATTTTTCAATTTCCCCAGCTGGTAATGTGTTTCTAGAAAAATCTAGATGCCCTATAAAAATGTAAGTTGAACAATTTTTTCATTTTTTTTTTCAACCAAGCATAATTGAACGAGCGAACGTAACATGGTTACAAAAAACACGAGAAACCACACGCAAATTGATGCATAAGGAAGGTTCAATCATAGAATGAATGCTAGTTATTTGCACTGGTGAGCTCAATTTCACTAATTTGCTAATCATTAATGGACACAGTTAGTGATACTCTTCGCTTCGTAAGTTTTTGTCTTAACCGCACCGTCGAGAAAATTGTGCTGTTATTTTTCATGAAACATGATATTTAAAATCTGAGTAAATCACGTTGATCCTCAGATTCTAAAGGAAAATTAATGAGCATAACATTTTTACTCTTCTTACAATCAGTCAATTTGGTCCTTTGAGAGCAGTTTTTGTGCCTTTGGGGCACCTCAAATCGTTAGGAACTTGTAAATGGCAACGATGGAGGAACCAGATCGAGAAAATATTATTTCAAACACATTTATAACACACCCTCACACACAATAAATTGAGAAAAGAAGGACAATAGACGAGTACACGGATTGATTTGAGTATCGCTCTAGAACACATGACACAAGCTGCGGGCAATGTACTAATCATCAACACTAAATGTTTTATGCCGTACAGTAGGCCTGGCCTTTTTGGTATGTGTGACGCATCTTCAAATAGACAAGAAAAATAATAGAGGTATATCCATCATTTTCCAGGAAGTTTTCAATAACTGGTTGTGTTACTGTTCGTTTAGATATGATTAGATTAGACTGTATTGTTTATAAATTTATATATTAAGGCTCAATCGAATTAACTTCACAGAGCCGATGATTCTTGTTCACTATACAAAACATCGTAAAACTATATTCATAAGGTACAACACAATAAACACTTTATCTTCCACTATCAGAACGGGAGCCGCTTTCAGTGGCAGCCATCAGTATGGCAGTATCGCCAACGGGAGGCAGAGTGCTTCCATTGCAGCAATGAACACAAACGTGGTCATCACTCACGAAACAGTTGCTTTCCAAAGTCGACGACGCATCGACCGAAATAACTGCTGATGTAGAACAATGAGGAAGACCACACAATGGTTGCTTCCGTGAAAACAGACGATCACGTGACACACATTAAGAGTGGCCTGCATTTTTATCATAAACCACGTAGACACATTAGAAATGGGGAGGGGATGTTGGCTTTAGTCTGCAAACCATACAATTTTTTGGAAATTGTAAATTTGAGAAAAAAATGTATGGGGGAGTCTAACACTGGCGCGGTAACCATAGTACGGTGATTGAGGAAATTCTTCACCAAACCCGAGCGTCTGTTCACCATGGAGGTGCGGCTCAAAACGGCGTCTGTTCTCCATGTTAGGAGCGGCTGATCACCGTCCTAGTGCCAGCGTAGGACTCTAAACAGAGCTGTGCACGATGGTCCCCCGGCGAGACAGGAGGTTGGGGCAGGCCCAACAAGCCGCCCTGGAAAAAACATAAAGTTGCAAATACTGAAGAAAGAAATACGAATCGGAACAATCGGCACAGACCTACGCGACGAAATGAGGACTACGATTGGAAACTCGGAACATGGAACTGCAAATCGTTCGGCTTCCCGGGCTGCGATAGGTTAATCTATGACGAATTTCAACCACGCAACTTCGAAGTCGTAGCACTGCAGGAACTTTGCTGGACGGGACAAAAGATATGGAAAAGCGGGCATCGAGCGGCTACTTTCTACCAGAGCTGTGGCCCCACCAACGAGCTGGGAACCGGCTTTGTAGTGCTGGGTAAGATGCGCCAACGCGTGGTTGGTTGGCAGCCGATCAACGCGAGGATGTGCAAGTTGAGGAATAAGGGCCGTTTCTTCAACTACAGCATCATCAACGTGCACTGCCCACACGAAGGGAGACCCGACGACGAGAAAGAAGCGTTCTATGCGCAGCTGGAGCAGGTGTACGACGGCTGTTCGCAACGGGACGTCATAATCGTCATCGGCGACATGAACGCTCAGGTAGGACGGGAGACAATGTATAGACCGGCAATCGGGCCAAACAGCCTGCATGCCGTATCGAACGACAACGGCCAACGATGCGTGAACTTTGCAGCCTCTCGAGGAATGGTAGTTCGAAGTACCTTTTTCCCCCGCAAGGATATCCACAAAGCCACCTGGAGATCACCTGACCAACACACAGAAAAACAAATCGATCACGTTCTAATCGACGGGAAATTCTTCTCCGACGCAGTGCTAACATAGATTCGGACCACTACCTAGTTGCAGTAATGCATGCGCTCAAAACTCTCGACGGTTAATAACACCCGTCGAAGTCGAACGCCGCGACCCAACATTGAGCAAATACGGGACGCCGGAGTTGCTCACGACTACGCGCAGCAGCTGGAAGTTGCACTACCCACGGAAGAGCAGCTTGGCGCAGCTTCTCTTGAAGATGGCTGGAGGGACATCCGTTCAGCCATAGGTAGTACTGCTGCAGCGGCACTAGGTACTGCAATCCCGGACCGAAAAATGACTGGTTTGACGGCGATTGCAAACTGTTAGTAGAGGAGAAGAATGCAGCACGGGCGAGAATGCTGCAACACCGCAAGATATTGAATGTGAAGCGATACAGACAAGCGCGGAACAGAAAAAACTCGGTTTTCTGAAGGAAGAAGCGTCAGCAGGAAGACCGAGATCGCGAGGCAATGGAAAATCTGTACCGCGTAAACGACACACGGAAGTTCTACGAGAAGCTAAATAGTTCGCGCAAAGGCTACGTGCCGCATGCCGATATGTGCAAGGACTTGGACGGTAACCTTCTCACGAACGAGTGTGAGGTGATTGAGAGGTGGAAGCAGTACTATGACGAGCACCTTAACGGTGAAGCAGCAGAAAACGAAGGTGGCACGGCAACAGACCTTGGAGCACGCGATGAAGACGACAGGCTACCGGCCCCTGATCTTCAAGAAGTTGAGGAGGAGATCGGTCGGCTGAATAACAACAAAGCAACTGGTGTAGATCAACTACCAAGTGAGCTATTAAAATACGGTGGTGAAGCACTGGTTAGAGCGCTGTACTGGGTAATTGCCAGGATTTGGGAGGAGGAGATATTACCGGAGGAGTGGATGGAAGGTGTCGTATGCCCAATATACAAAAAGGGCAACAAGTTGGATTGCTGCAACTACCGCGCGATCACACTGCTGAGCGCCACCTACAAGGTACTCTCCCAAATTCTATGCCGCCGCCTATCACCATTTGCAAGAGAGTTTGTGGGGCAATACCAGGCGGGATTCATGGGCGCCCGCGCTACCACGGACCAAATTTTCGCGATTCGGCAGGTTCTGCAGAAATGCCGCGAATACAACGTGCCCACACATCATTTGTTCATCGATTTCAAATCCGCATACGACACAATCGATCGAGATCAGCTATGGCAGATTATGCACGAGTATGGATTTTCGGATAAACTGACGCGATTGGTCAAGGCGACGATGGATCGAGTGATGTGCGTTGTTCGAGTATCGGGGACACTCTCGAGTCCCTTTGAATCTCGAAGGGGGTTACGGCAAGGTGATGGACTTTCGTGTCTGCTGTTCAACATCGCGTTAGAAGGTGTGATCAGAAGAGCTGGGATAGACACGAGTGGCACGATCTTCAGGAAGTCCATCCAGCTTCTTGGCTTCGCCGATGACATTGACATCATGGCACGGAACTTTGAGACGATGGCGGAAACGTACATCAGACTGAAGGCTGAAGCTAGGCGGATTGGACTTGCCATCAACGCATCAAAGACAAAATACATGAAAGGAAGAGGTTCTAGGGAATACAATGTTAGCCTGCCACCCCGAGTTCAGATTAACGGTGACGAAATCAAGGTGGTCGATGAGTTCGTGTATTTGGGCTCACTGATGACCGCCGAAAATGATACCAGCAGAGAAATTCAAAGACGCATTATGGCAGGGAATCGTGTCTACTTTGGACGAGACCTGGACTATGCTCGTGGAGGACCAACGCGCCCTTGGTGTTTTCGAACGGAAGGTGTTGCGTACTATATACGGTGGAGTGCAGATGGATGACGGAACGTGGAGGAGGCGAATGAACCACGAATTGCACCAGCTGCTGGGAGAACCATCCATCGTCCACATTGCAAAAATTGGGCGACTACGGTGGGCTGGGCACGTCGTAAGAATGCCGCACGACGACTCAGTGAAAATGGTTCTAGAAAGCGACCCAACAGGAACAAGAAGAAGAGGCGTGCAGCGGGCAAGGTGGATCGACCAAGTAGAAGGCGACTTGCGGACCCTTCGCAGACTACGAGGTTGGCGAAGTGTGGCCATGGATCGAGTAGAGTGGAGACGACTTCTTCGGATTGGTAAGGTAAGGTAAGGGGGAGTCTAAAACCTTAAGAAACAGTCTTCGAAGTTTATGTACTGCCCCTAAGTGCACATACCAGTAATACTATTATGAATATGAACCAAAGCTTCTAACAATAAAGGAAACATAATTTATTTAATAAACTTTATGGGAAATTGACGGATCATATACCAGAAATAATTTGAAATCATGCCTTCA